TTTCCTGTTGAATAGGGAGGGTCATATTTTGAACCAGAAAGGGCCAGGGTCTGACATTTTTTCCGGCTCAATCTGACTCTGGACGTTTTTTAACAATGTATGGACATGGTATGAATATACGTTGTGGTATATTATCTATTTTGCAGTCTTCGGTGTACTGAAATACAAACTCACAAATTTTCAAATTTATGCTCTCTTTCCATTATTGTGTTTGCTATTCTATTGAACATTGTTCCATAATCATTTTCTTGATGAATGTGCATGATTCCTTTGTATCCTGTATTTTTATTGTTTGTGTATCTTTGTATCTTCTGTGCTTTTTTCTTGAGCTACAGTGTATAGGGGCCTATTAAATCTGACGGTCCTTGCTTTGCTCTTTGTTGTAAACGTACTTGTAAGTAATAATTAAAAACTGATAAGTCGACCTTTTTCACAATATGAATGCCAGATAAAAGTGAACAAAAGTTTGTGGAATCAAATACGCGGTCTGTGGGGGAAAATTCTTGAGTTTCTCAATGACACTGTGCAGTCTGTGCATTCAATTGCTAAGAATATCTTGTTAAGCATTACTCGCAAGCTGTTAGTTTCGTAAATGCCTTAGAATCCTATAAATAAGACTCAGATTACTTACTTCTTGAAACTGAAAGGGGATGTTAGAGACCATTTTCTTTAGTGTGTGAAAGAGCCTGCACACCTCGTCCCCAGAGTGCCCATGTGTAATCTGATGTGCTGGAATGTCTATTGTGAGTTCTACAGGCTGTACAGGCAGCCATCTTATTAGCCACGCTGTCCTTTAGACACTGCTGACTTGTTACCCCCCATTTCGGTAAGAAACATAGTCCTTTTTGTGAACATGGTTCGAAGCACTTTGAATGAGGTAGTTTAAACTATCTGTCCATATCTACGGAGGTTTCATTACATCTTTGAGAAGATCATCATTCCAGATCCAGTGACTGTATACCTACACATGAACAAAAACAAAGTTATGTTCATGGTATGCTTTTGTGCTTATGCAGAATTAGTTCGTATGTAAATTGAGGTCTTATACAAATTTGAGTAAACGATATAACAGGTTGACTTGTTTGATTTGAAAGTACATGTACATTACAGAAGAATACTAAAAATGCTAAATACTTGCTGAAATTGAATACATGCTTTTGACTTGTAAATGCCAGCGAGAAAGATCATTGTTTAAAAAAGAGTTTGAATGGGCATTGTGTAAAGTAGAATTACTTGGGGCTGAATTTAGCTGGGAAACCTGTATTGAAGTGATATAGCCTGTAAATTGTGGGAATTTAGCCTTTGGGATGCAAACGGGATGTGTTAAATAATTATTAAAAAAACAGCTAAACGTAAACCTGAGCTGCCTGTTTCTCTACATCAGAAAAATACTAAAACTGCATNCTATACTATACTATACTATACTATACTATACTATACTATACTATACTATACTATACTATACTATACTATACTATACTATACTATACTATACTATACTATACTATACTATACTATACTATACTATACTATACTATACTATACTATACTATACTATACTATACTATACTATACTATACTATACTATACTATACTATACTATACTATACTATACTATACTATACTATACTATACTATACTATACTATACTATACTATACTATACCAAACTACATACTAAAAAATTAAAGTGGGTAGACTTAAATGAAACAATGTGTTTTTCACAAACTCCTTGCATTTTGTGTTTCCTTTTGTGCGTGTTAGTTATTATTTTTGTAGTTGTATGTTTTTTTTTCCAGAAAAGACTGATGGCCATGTAATTACATGTAGATTGAGCAAATTACTTTGAAGATGGACCTGCAGCTATCGCAATCAGTCGACCAGGGGTCTGCTATATATTCTGGATGTCAACTGGAGTCAACTGCTGAAGATGCCAAGTCATAAAAACATTTAACGAAGCAACGTGGGCAAAAGTACAAAATGCCGCTAAAATCTGCAAAGACCTGGCTTGTGACAAATATGGTAATGCTACACAAAGAATCTTAGCAGCTCAAAACAAGGACCCTCCCCTGGGATACCATTCATCCTGCCAGAAGAAGTTTACAGTAGTAAGGGCTAACCTCTCTGACGACTCTGAACGGTGTAAAGAAGATGACAAACTCAGATGGGCTGCACTTCACCTCCGTGCACAGATAATGAAACTGGCAACGACACAGACACTAAGTCCAGCTACGGTTCAAAACCTGAAGGAGTCTGCCCCAGAAGTACCACCTCAGTTGGCCTTACTTTATAGACATCTACTGAGTGGCTTGGTGACTCCATCTGGCAGTGATGCCCAGGAAGCAATTGAGAGGAAGCTGACTGCTCTGGCATCTTATGCCATTTACAGTGTCACACGTGGAGCAGTTAGACCATGGAAGCATACCATGATTGGCCTCGGCCTCTCCTCGCTGACCGGATCAAAACTCACTTTGATGATCCTGAACAGGGCAGGGCACTGTACCAATTACAGTGAGGTTAAAGGACTGGAAACAGAATTTGCATACACATTAGAGTCCTACCTACGTAATACTCCTGATGGTATCCACTTACATCCAGATTTGGCCACTCTACCGTATGGGCTAACAACGACGTAACCGTTGAAACTCTTGACGGTAAAGATACCCTCCATGCAACAGTTGGACACACGTACCAGAATATGTTAGAGACTTGTAATCAACCAATCCGCTCACAGTCCACGGAGTTTCGAGGAGAAAGAAATCGGCGACCATTCGAGGGACAGGAACGGGAGTTCTTTCATCTTTCGTCTGCAGTAATGCAGTGTCTCTCACAGCCATGGGGAACCTGAAACTTCGAGCCCTGGACCTGTATTGGATATGGAGGCTGGACTATGGGAAGACTCCACTGTACCATGGGTTCATCAGCAGATATATTAAGGGTGTTCTGCCAGACCAGCAAATCTCATACGTGGATCCAATATTCAGATCTCCGACGAATAATGATATTGTACGAGAAACGATGGTTCGAAGCATGAACGTTGTGCAGGAAACTGGCCAAAGGTATGGAGTAGTGATGTACGACCTGGCAGTTGCTCTGAAGGTCTATTCGATCTAAGCTGTGGAAAGTCCACTATTTGACAAGCTTCTGATCATGCTTGGCAGTTTCCAGATTGAACTTGCTTTTTACGGAGCAGTCGGTACCATGATAAGTGACAGTGGGATCGAATATATCCTTTCAGAAGCAGATGTACTAGCCGAAGGATCCGTCATGGGCTTTACTAAAAGGCAAATTCTACAACCGCTGCACAAGAATTCATGAGTTAGTCGCCAATGAAATGGAACGGAAGATGTACCAACGATTCCTCAACACCCTATCAGTGGAGGAACTCGAGTATCTCAGAGTGGTGTGGAACACCATTCCATCTGACCATAGCCAGGTTGAGTTTAATCTCATGGATCCAATCATTCTACAACATCCTCAAAAATATGAGCAGTTCTTTCAAGATGTCCCGAGAGGAAGTTTGCAGCTCACAGCTCACTTCTGGGGTATTTATGTCTTCATCATTATCCGACTCTATAAAGAATTTCAGCGAATTGTGAAGACAAATGATTTCAGTGCCTTCATTGATAATATCCCGGCAATGTGTGACACATTCTTCGCTCTAAACCGGCCCAACTATGCAAGATGGGGCACACTCTTCCATCAGAAGCTAACATCAGTAGAGCCAGAGATTCGTGAGATCCTAGAGAAAGGGGCATTTGTATAAGACGCACGGCAAAGGATTACAGTCGGTCAGCAGTGGACCTGTCCTTAAAGCAGTCAGTGAACCGCGATGCAGCTTCAGATATGAGGGGAGTCGTCGCCTTTTGGAACTCAGAAAGCGCAATGCGCAGATGGTCCGTGACAGTGGCACAGAGGGCAATGACAGTGACAGAGCTGAGAGCTTATGCTGGTCTTGAGGTTGGAGAAATTGCAGCCGTTCAGAATCAATCATCTCGAATAAGGAAGGACAACCAGCAGATGGCCGCTTTGAATGACAAGCTGGACGAATTTTGTAATCCGTTTTCAGAAGACACTTCTTGTGACTCGCTGGTGAAAATCGCAACTGGTCGAGCTGCATCCAAGACCACTGAGACCTACCTGCTGAATACACTCCAACGAGGCAAGGAATTAAGGTCACAGTTTTAGTGACAGCAATCGATTTTTGAAGGGAGTGAAGAGAGTAAAAGTAAAAAACTTCGCATCAGAAAATATGCAGAAAAAGGCCAAGGTGCCAGCTGCTGAAATGGCCAAGAACAATGCTGAAAGCGTGCGGGATGTCTTCGTCCGCATGATTGTGGTGATGGCCAAAAATGGAAATCTTGACCTTCGCAACGTTCTCGCCCACCCCATCACAGAGTACCCGTTATCACTCGCACACGGCGATGGTTCAGTTGTGAAAACAGACAAATCAGCATTGCTACGTAAGCTTGAGACATTGCAGACGGATCCTATCACAGATGACAATCTGCCCCGAAGTTACGTCCAGATATACGATGGGGGCCTCCTTCGCCATACGACATTGGCTCAAACAAACATGGGCGCATCATTGCCATCAATATCTCCGTCTCTGCTCTCAACTATTTGCATCGGACAGGCGACAGAGGTGCATGCTTGTTTTGACAAATTCCAATAAAGACGGTGAAAGGAAACTGAGAGGGGCACGAGACACTGCTTACAACATAACAGGTCCAGAACAAATCCTACGACAAAGTGGACAGAGGATGCTGAGTAATGGGCTCTTCAAAAATGAGCTTTCAAAATTCCTCCTTGAAGAATGGGGAAAGGACTATTATTGGAACTTTTTCAACGGAAAGATGCTGTTTGCATCCTATGGAGGCGAGTGTTGCCAGTATGCAGCAGATGAGGAGAACAGGTGCGTTTGTGTCACACAGCCACTGCATCTACAGGATGACCACGACGAAGCGGATACCCTGATCGCTTTCCATGCGGTGAGTGTTCCTGCAGGATACATCACTGTACAGGCATCAGACACAGATGTGCTTGTTATTCTGATTTGGACATTTGGAAATCAACGAGTGGAAGTATGCTCCATGACCAAAATTGTTATGGATTGTGTTCAGGGAAACAAGAGAAGATACATCAACGTATCCAACATTGCCGACATACTTGATGAATGTAAGCCAGGCCTCGCAGCAGCACTCGTAGGGTACCATGCCTTCACTGGATGTGATTTTACGTCAGCATTTTTCAGGTAAGGCTTGAGACAAGGTATGATGCAGGAATGAAACCACTGTATAAACCAAAGCTGCTTCATGTAGCTCTTTTCCCTACAATGCAAATCTCATTTCAAAATAATACTTGTACTATTTCTTTTCTTTTTCAATTCTTTCAGGAAAGGCAAGGTAAAAGCCTTTGACATTGTCGAGAAAGAAAAGTCTGGACGTTATCTGGACCTCTTCATCACGATGCGTAATCCTTGTCGCCGTGCTGATCTGGATGCGGCTTCCAGTTTCGTATGCAGTTTGTATGCTCAGGGGAAGGCAAAAGATGTCAATGAAGCTCGCTACAACAAACTGATACAGATGACTGGCAAAATTGACCCGATAAGTTAGCAAGTGAGTGGGGAACCGTGTAAATGTTGATAATGCAGAGTATTGCCTTTTCTTTCCGTAATAGGAACCTCTTTTTATTTCAGAACACTCCTCTCACAAATCTGAAGAAGATCGACGGTGCACTTTTGCCACCATCAAGAAGAAGTCTTCATGTGCATCTCCTCAGGGCCCACTATGTTACCATGTTGTGGAGCCGTGCTTCATCACCTTACCCAGCTGATGGTCTAAGCCCACTGGAATATGGCTGGTACAAGAAAAATGACATCCTTCAACCTGTTCGGTTCCAAGGACCAGCATTACCAGATACCTTTCTCGGAACAAACTCGGAAGAGGAAAATGACGTGATTGAGGGAAGAGATGCGTAGTCAGAAGAAGATTCTGATGAGTTGGCCACTAAGTCTGATATGTTTGAAAGTGATCTGAGTGATTCTGGGGATAAACCACGGCCTGAAGACTCCAACTCAGACTTGGATGGCAACTGACTTGCACAATTTTCCAGGACGCTTTCCACTAGTCAGTGCTCGAAGGGAATTCAGACTTTATCACTCTCACAGCGAAGTCTATTAAATTTTAGTTTAGGTCTGATTTGTGCTCTTCTCAAGTGAATAATGAATGAGAGCTCCAACCTGGGAATCCACCCTTTCGAATGGAGTAGAGCCTTGCAAGTCTTCCCTTCACGCATGTTAATGTACATGTACTTTAAATGAGTTCCATCTAAAATCATCCAATTTGTTGTGTTGTGATCGAACTTAAATAATACACCTGTTCAGTTAACATTTGAGGTTTGGCTGAAACACTGGCCCACGTTGAAATGTATCACGAGGTAGTTATGTGAAGACACATGTATGTGAACATTTGTAACTTTTAGTGATTCGAAACAGGCATGCTTGAAAATCATGTATTCTGTATTTGTTGGTTATTTGTTATAAAAACAAGTAGTTAATGTGCTGTTAAATGAATAGTCAATTGTGTTAGGGGATCAAGCTCACTGTGTCAGTTGGGTTAATAGGCGTGTCTGGCGGGCCTATCCCACCACAAAAAAGTCTGCCAATTGTAGGTATAGATATGGGGTCTATAATACATATTTTGAAGTAGGTTGATTTCGATTGGCCACATCGTTGATCTAGCAGTGATTGGGATGGAGGTACATGTATAAGGCGTTTCTGTCAGAGTTATCCCACCACAAAAAAATTCGATTGTAATTATAGACGTAAGTGATAAAATTGGACAATAGGTGGTAGGTTTCAACATGTGAGCAGTTCGAATCAGCTCACTTTAGGAGTGTCTGTAGACACCGTAAATGCCTGTCAGCTGTGAATATGAATAAACCGGGTCATAGTCTACATTTTGCAATATTTCATACAGTTAGCAACATTGTTGATCTAGCTCACTTCGGGAGTACCAGTCATGGACGTCTGTCAGACTCCCCCCACCACTAAAACTGTCTGTCAATACACCGCATGGACCCGGAGTTGGGAATGCTTGGATCGACATAGGGTTTAGGCAATTAGCTTATGGGTTGAGCTAGCCGAAATTTTTAGGCCACTAAACTGCCCTTTTCTATCTGTCACCTCCACCATGGCTTACCCGGCAGACGTCCATATCCTTTAATAATGGTATTATGGGCATATCATCATGTAACTAGCAATTGGTTAGCTTTTCAGCTAGGCTGATACCTCTGGGCTCCCGGTCTGTAAAGAGGTTTATAGCGCGACACTAAATGCTGCGGCAGTATAAAAAAAGGAAATGTTGTCGTTCAGGATATTCCATTCAGCCCATGTGGACGGCGATTATCAATGGGTCTTTGATTAAAACATAAAACACACACAAGTTCTTCGAAAAAGGTAAGGCAATACATATATCTTCCGTTTCACATCTCAGATGAGAGGGAAAGTTGGGGAAGTCATCATGATCGACCGAGAGGGATATGTCAAAGTCAATTTTGGAGGATCGTCTTACTTCATTAATCCTCTGTGTCTCGTCTTGGACCAAAGGAAAAAGTCTAAAAACCTGAAGAACCATCAAGTTCCTCCGCAGGTAAATTGGATCATGCAGTAAAAAAATATTAAAGTTGTGATGCTAATATTATCCACTACAAGACATGCACAGAATAGGAAAGACCTGATTTGAGGCACCTGTCTCGTGTCAATAGATTCTGTTTAAATTGCGAACCCACATTTACTCGCTATTGCCACTGCCATGTACTCGTACAACAATAAATCACTAAAGAAACAAAATTAAGGCCAGCCAATGTTTTTATGCAGCAGTTGTGCGCATATGAATGAACGTTGAGGTTTTCCTACAGAGACAGCATCACATTTTCCCTTTACAATAGTTAAACACAAATTGAAAATGAGATATGAAGGCGTATTTTGGAGCTTTGTATTTTTAAAGGTTCCACTTCAGGGACCAGACCCTTGAAGTACCCTAGCTCCAGCTAATAATACCTAATATTAGAGGTTTTGGGGAATTTGTATTTTTCGCATGCTTTTCGTGTAAAAGTGTAATAAGGACAGTTTTTATTTATGTCAAAGGTTCAAGCCCTGATCTTGGGGATTTTCTTGCTGCCCTTCTGCTGAACTCAGAGCTGGAAAAACTGGGGGACCACTTGGGCACACCTGATACATCGCTGGCCTCGCGCCTGTTTCAGGCGGCAGCGTCAGGAAACAGCAGTAGCGTTCGGGAGATTCTTTTGATCCACCCAGAAGCGGTGAGAATAATTTGAAGAAAGCCTGCTTGAAAATAGAAAGTCACGCTAATATTACAAAAGGTATCCTAGATTAAGTCACTCCGCTGCTTTAATAGTAAAAGATGTTGTCATATTTACGTGATACATAACTTAATACCTACTCAAGTATTATCACGGCGGTGACAGTACAGAAATTCTGCGGGGGGCACTGGTTAGCGCAAAAGTCTAGAATCAGGGAGGTTGGAAATTGTTTAGCTGAATCCACCCTAGTCTGGCTACCAGATCTAACGATCCCTGTTGAACTGATCGTAGGTCACGTAGCTAACACATGACGTAATGACGCAAAAATCTTCGCTCGTCCGTCCATCCGAAAGGCAGAAATTAATCTTTTATGCAGTTGCCCTAACACCTGATATTGACCTGATATTGACCTGATATTGACGTTTCTCAACAGTTATGATTATACCCCCTTCGCAAAGTACCGAAAACAAGCTCGATAAATTTCTATATTCTGTTTGAAAATGCGGGGGTGGATTGTGGCAAGGTTGAATTGGAGCCTGTCCGGCCTCCATTTTGTCGGAATCACCCACTTTTAATTTGTTTTTGCCCGACTGCAAGGTGGTAACAGACGAACTGCATACTTGATAGTCCCAGAACTGTGGGGTCCGACGTCTGCTCCGCTCCCACGAACCCACGAAAATAAGCCCTTTTTGCAATAGGCTCTACATGACGTTTAACACGGCACGAACATGGATTTTATTCTAGTTGTGTACTGATAGAAATGCTGCTCCATTTCCCCCAAGAATGGTAACTTACATCCCTTTGTTCTGAGTACCAAGAAAAAAATGGGCCAAAACTGTGCTTTTTCAAAAAAGGGTGCTAATATTTCCCGATAAGTGTGCGAGAGTCATGCGGTTCACATGTGTACTTGCGAAGACGAGCCGCGACCAAATGGTTGACTACGGCTGCGATCGATACACAAGACATGGAAATTGGCTGCAGCTGCTTTCCGTGGGTATGTGTGTAATTCTTAGCCGCACTGGTCAGTTGAAATGGCAGTTGGCTGCGGTGCGCTGGGGGTCACACTGGCCAATCACACGGCTCCTTATTATTTATGCCCTAATGTAGGAACGACAAGCAACAGCCGTTGGCCTTTACCAACTTGATTTTAAGGTTTTTGTGGTGAATTACCATATTCAAAAGCTTTCTCATATGCATTTTTCAAAAGTTTCATGTAAACAGTTGAAGCAGATGAGTCTCCGAAACAAACGGCATCAACTCCAAAGCTTACTCAATGTTCCATGTGGTTTCTCATGAGGGCAATAAGCGGTGAGATGACAACTTAGATGCTTGTTGGTGGGGGATGGTGCTGACGTTGGAGTGGCACTAGCAAGTAGCAGTTCATCAAGGCCGAATGGTCAAAGCAAAATGGCAGTGCTTGAAATAAGGAGCTCTTACCATATCCCCTGGGCAGAAACGAAAACGTCACGCCCGCGTACAGATACTTCAGTAGCCTAATGCTGCAGCGGTTTAAACTCGGCAAGTAAGGTGAAGTTTTCCAGCAGAAGAACTGTCCAAGTACTGCTCAGACTACAGAGCTGCACTCACGGCCGCCGACGCACTTGACACGCTCACCATCTTTCGTATATTTTCAATTTGCATAACGTGTTAATGTATGCTGACCCCCTCAATTATGCTTGGTTAGGATTTTTGCTACACCACGGGGTAGCAAAAATCGAAAAGGCAAAGAAAAAAATTGAGAAATTCCTGACAAATTGGAAAAGGCCTCGTGGCTGCGCCACTCGTGTATGTGGTCTTCGGTCCAACCGCTTTGCAGTTACACATAAACACAGCCGCAACGGCCTTGACGAAAGGCTATGTCGCACTGAACACTTTCTGTTGAGGCCGCACGTGGATATCGCTGCCTGCCCGCGTCCGGATGCGGACAGGCAGCGATCTTTGAGGAGCCCTGTGATTGGTCAGTGTGACCCCCAGCGCGCCGCAACCACGGACGTGTTTAATAAAATCTGGACTTGCAATGCCCTTAATCAGCTTACAGAATCATTCATTGAATCCACTCGCGGCCACGTTACCGAGCCGAATACAAAGCATTCTGGACAGTGTCCGCCTTTGTTCTTCCTGACGTCAATAGAAGGGAGCCAACCCACGCATTTGTATTCGGCTCGGTAAAATGGCCGCTGGTTGGCTTCTTTTTCATACAAAGGCGTTGCAAGTCCAGGTTTTTTTTCATATACGTCCGTGGCCGCAACCAACTGCTATTTCAGCCATTGAGTCCAGTCGTGGCTACGAATTACACACACGTACGGAAAGCGGCTGCAGCCAATTTCCATATCCTGTGTAGCGGTTGCAGCCGTAGTCAACCATTTGGTTGTGGCTCGTCTTCGCAAGTACACATGTGAACCGCATGACTCTCGGACGCTGATTGGGAAATATTTGCCCTTTTTTGGAAAACAGCATGGTTTTGGCCCATTTTTTCCTGGTACTCAGACCAAAGGGGTGTAAGCTACCACACAAAGAAATCTTGGGAAATGAAGCAGCGTTTCTATGGGTACACAACTTCCTGTTTGTGCCGTGTTTCCTATGTCGAAAAAGGCTCAGTTTCTATGGGGATTCGTGGAGCCGACGTCGGACCCCACTGTCCTGGGGGTACGTACTTGAACCAGAGAAACGCATCTGCCCATCACTTGCACACGTTAAAACTGCCCCTTTATTTTGTGTGAGAAACCAGTAGATAATTTAATTGTCCTTTTATTGAAACGTCAAACTGCAACTAGACTTGAGGTAAATTTAAAAGTCGTTGAATAAATGTTGTATTTTGTATCTCTCAGGTGAAGCTTTCAAATAAACAAAGCCAAACAGCGCTGCAAGTGGCCTCTCATGAAGGTCATACGGACGTAGTGAGTACTTTAGTCTTAGGTGGAGCACCTCTGGAACATCCAGACGACGATGGAGACACAGCAATTGCTTTTGCAGTGCTTGGGTGAGCCTCGTTTTTTAATTGCCACTACGTGAGCCACACAGTTCAGCAGACGTTTACTTGAACCGGCAAAAGTAAACTTACACTGGTCAACCCAGAAAGTAGAGATGGTAGCCTACTGCATGCATAAATGACGACATTCACTGTGGCGAATGGCTGCTTCGCAGCGAGTAATACGGGATTTATTTCCGTCAAATATGGCCTAATTTTTCGTTCTCTAAAAAAATTAAGACATCAGTTTTCAACTTCTGGCGGTTCAATCCCTAAAATGGCAACCACATCCAATTGATATAAGGCAACATCGATTTTTAGCGAATAGGCCTAGTTATGTGTGTGGCATCTCCATTGTTACATGGCTGTACAACTGATCACTAATGGCAAATTCAAATGATATCAAAATCCCAAATCGCAGTAGCCATCATCTTCCCAAGTTCTGGAAGAGAATGGGGCGTCTTCATTTTTTTCCGCATCGACGCATGACATTGATCTCGTTTAGCCTAAAATGGATGTTGAATATTTCCCATGACAGGCTCCGTTATGAAAATGAGAGATCTGTGTCGAAGAAAATAAACTATAGGCCTACTACGCAAAACACGTACCGGTAGCCTGCACAGCGTATGCTAACTTACGTATTGCACTACTGGACACGCCTATGAGAGCCTGATTTAAGGTGACTGACGCCATATATCATAAGGAGTTGCCTTGCAGCTTTTGGTGCTGAGGCATAACCTCAAGGTGCTTTCAGGATGGTTGGCCTACTATAAATATCATAACTGGTAACATGATTGTTTCACATATTATTCAATTGAAACAAAGTCCGTGATTCCTTTCCTGAAAACATCCTGCAATATTGTATAATTATAAAAAAATAATTAATAACATGAATGCACATAGGCCTAGCAAAGTTTTAGCCAAACGCTTACTACTTACAGTCTAAACGTGTTCAACAAGCTGTCCTGTTGAGTCAGTTTCGTCCTACCTGAGAAAGAAAACTTTGACCCACTTTAATGGTATGTAATGCATTTTGTCTCGAACGTTACATCAAATCTGTGACAGCCAGGTTGCCTTTTTTCTGACCTTACATGCAGCAATAAAGCTGACACCGTCAAACGTCTATTGCTTGCTGGGAGCAACGTAAACGCATCCAACAACAAGGGTTTGACTCCACTCCACCTGGCTGCTGCCAAAGGTCACCAGACATGCGTGGAAGTGTTGCTTAAATACGAACAGAAATGTGATGTCAACTGCCAAGTATGTTGAGTACTGAATTATTTTCGCTCCTTGATCATCCAGTCTTTAAAGAACGTAAACAACATCTGAATGAAAAGCGAACAATAGTAGGAACATTCAGCAAATCATCGACAAGCAGTAACGTGTGCGCTACTTAACGAAGTTCTGGTAATTTTTCCTTGCATTTTACAGGACAAGGATGGAAACACGCCACTGTTTCATGCAGTTGTCAAGAACAACAAGCAAATCATCCACTGGCTAGTGAACAACCCGAGAAGTGACCTTCGTATAATGAACAAGAAGGGATTTAACAGCTTGCATCATGCGGTGTTTTTAAAGAACATTTTGTAGGTCCCCCTGTCTATTTCTTAGACTTCCGTTCTCTTTGTTTCTGCAGGGTAAATAATCGTTAGGTTTTAACTTGATGTGAACTTTGAGTGCATCGACATACTCAACTTTTGTGGATATGGATGGCAAACCTCAGAATTTTGTTTTAAACTTGTTCCAAGAAGTTTTACTCTTCTCAAAATATTGTCGTGTATAAAAATAAACGGAAACGTAATTGTATAAAAATGCAAGTGCTTCGGGGTGTAACGAGCGAATTCCATTTCCCAATGCAGTGCTGTGGAGGCAATTCTGAGTACTTCTCCCACTATGATCAATGTTGCAAAAAACGACGGCTTCACAGCCCTACACCTTGCCGCCTTCAACGACATGACGGACATTACTTTGATCCTCGTCAAAAAGGTAAGGTCGTTGATCACACGGCTTTACTCTAAGACGTGGACAGTTGCGACATAGCTGCCCCAACATTCCAGCAATGTAAATCATTTCTCTGCAATTTGGTTATAACATGTAAAGGATGCTCACGCCGTGCTCAAAATATATTCATGGGAAATTGAAAAATACCGATTTAGGCATACAAACCCAAAACTAAGAACGGGTTATGGCCACTGGTTATATATTCCGGTTTTACAAAGGTTGGTTGCAAAAAAGAACTGAAAACTGGCAGTGGGCAAACTGCATTGCATCTGGCAACGGACAAGACACACATCAGGTGCATCGAGGCTCTCGTAAACAACGGTGCCAACGTGAACGCCCAGGACAGTAAAGGTAACACTAGCCTCCACCTGCTCATGCTGAAAGCCTCTGTGGAGGACATCCTAAGAAGTACACCAATGGGACAGGTAATCATCATTGATATGTTAGCGCAGTCACGGTGGAGCCTATGATGGACAATGTTAACAATGTTAATGAACCTCTTTTCAGTACTTGATGCAATCGGGAAATCACAATCTCCTTTGATCAGGCAATTTGAAGTATAAACACCATTTTGCTTCGTACAGAACCGTATCGCCTTTTTCTGACCGAAGTTAAATGCTCTCACACATGACGCAATTTGATATAGTAAGGGAAAGACAAATTGACATCATCCTGTGATGTGCCAACAATGTTGCAGTTAGTAGCTGGTTGATGGTGCAACCATCTCCTCCTCTAGCTGCTGTCAAATTTCATGGATCTGGTAAAATGAAGCAAAATTTCCCATTGAATTCATAAATTTTGTTCATGGAATGCACAAGAGAGGTTAATAAATTTTCTAAATTTTCGGCAGTAGTAGGGACGAATCTTCACTCAAATATCACCATCCCCATTCCATGCACGAAAGTTAGATCCGCCCTTGGAAGTACATGTATTTAATAGACTGTTAAATGTATATCTTTGGTAAAATGTGACTCCACAAGGCCAAATAAGTCATCCTCATGAAATACAATAAATAAAACAAGACACGCATATTAAAAACGAAGTCACTTTATGTAGGACTAGAGGGTAACTGTAGAGTCGTGTAATTTACATAGGAACAAAGTTTGTGGTAGGAATGTGCCTATCAGGTCTGCTCGCCATCTGTAGGATAAGATCCAGACGGCCAAAAAATAATAATAAATTGATACTTGAGATCACTCGCATAGAAATACGAGGAATTATTCAAAGAAAGCAAGTCAGCGTCTCGACAAGGAGGTTCAACTTGCCATAAAATGTTATCATTTTCATAAAATGCAACACTAATGTGTACTGAAACATTTATTCGCACAAAAATTTACTCTTGCCAGAGTCCAACACTCATCACGTAATTTTATGGCTTATGCAGTTATTGGAGCTCGTTGAGCGCATCGAAAGAGGCGGTGGGTCATCGGACGAAAGATCCAAATTCGTTGCCATAGCGATCTACCTTGTTACAAAAGGGGCCGACATCTTCATCACAAATAGAGATGGGAAAAATGTTCTTGATGTCACCCTCAATCCTACTGTAAAGAAGCTTCTTAAGGACTTCTTCGTAGTGAAAAGGTGATACATTATTTATCTTTTTAAAATTTATCATGTGTATACTAATGGGCTTTCATCACTCATCAGCCCCAGTTGCGCGGCCAAAGCATGCAGAGTTGTAGATTGCAAGGAAAGGACACTAATAAAGCAAAATAAAGACGCTAAAGAAGCAGAATTAGGAAAATAGTGCGATAACTCTATATTGCAACAGGAAAGCGAACTTTGCGTAGAAAGTTGACAGACTACAGTCTCTGGTCTGGATGGCCCCCCTTAAAATTGTTTTAAACCTGTACTCTTCCGCAGCCGGGTATACATGAGCCGGTACATGTTTACACTACAGTCACTAAAATTACGAAATGAGCTATTATTCTTTATTTGAACTTGTATAAAGTTGCCGTACCAATAAAGTATGCTTAAAGAAAATTACGTATACTGGCACAGAAACAAAAACATCCCCTATCAAAAAGTGATCACAGGGCCATAGAATATTATGGACATGTTTGTTAATTCTTTAATACCGTTATTCCAACCAAGTTATTGCGTTGTCACACGTGAACACGCGAAATACAGTGCAACAGTATAAAATAATTTCATGAAGTGACAGATGAAATAATGTTCGATTCCACGAGGTATTCAAAATAATAACAGTAATGTTTTCTTTAATTCTTATTTGAACAGTTTAATATTTGATGCGGCAGTTTTTTTTTACTAGGTTGATATTCCAAAACATTCTGTTTACGTTACTCCCTTGCTTTCTCTATCCTAGTTAATGTTGGTGGACACACGCACCGCCAACCCAATGTTCGTAACATAGAGCGAAGGGGACGCATATTGATATGCTGTAATTATAACTGTTTTCATTAGTTTGTTAAATACTTAAGACTCGCAGCTAGGTAACAAAATATTAGTTGAATAGTGAGCCAACAATGCCAACTTGACAAAGAAAACCGTATTTCTTGTTTCCTGAATGGTTTGTGATGTAAAATTAGTAAATAGTTCAATGGGGGAAAATATGTCGAGCCCGATTCAAACGTAGAGCCTCCTGATTACGTGATTAAAAGAAGAAATATAATAAAAAAAAATAAGGCGGCACAACGACGGCCGAGGCTGTTGGTAGAACCAATCCAGGTATAGATGCTTCAGCCAAAAGCTGACATGTCTGGTTATCAAAAATTGGAAGCTACCCATCAATACTAAGCTTTAGGCAATCCTAATCTTTTGGGACGTTGCACGGGAATTGACTCACTTTCGATTCAAGATGGCTAAACTCGTGAAAAAGGTCAACAGCCCTTCTTCGCATTGTAACTTGCAAGAATCAATCTAATAAAATGCGTAAACAAATTGCCTGGGATTGAGAGGAGCAGTCTTAAGCCACTTTCAGTTAAAAGGGGGTTGTTCCTTGGCACATTTCAGCGCATAGCATTGTCAGCATTTCCTGTAAAATCAAATTTTAAATGTGATAGTTTTTCTTGTAATATGTATTTCAATTTTATAGTGATCAGACCGGAAAGTAGCACAAACTTAAGTTTGATTGATTGTGTTTTGCAATGAGGTATATCACCAAGAGCAAAAAGATGAAATACACAACACAATATGACCTAGGGTGTCCGCTTTAAACCATGTAAATTATACTGCCAGTTGACATTCTGTTTAAAATCTACAATATTCAGTTGCACCATTGTTGGGAGACACACTGTGAATAGGGTCAATAGGGAAAAGGAACAATGTTACTCAACATTTGTACAGGCAGAAAGCCCACCTGCCCGAGGCAAACAAACCAAACTACGAAGCAAAAGGTTGAAGTAAATCAACAGCGCCAGAAATTACGTCCGCCTGATGCTCAGTAAAACACACACAAACACTGCGCCATCACACCCTACATTATATGGACTTCTTTTGCGCAGAGGTCCACACTATATGCCACGCCTGCACACCCCCCAACGGAATGGATCCTTTCTGCCTGATCTAAAGTCATTGTCCTTTAATATATAAATGCATTTTCTAAATTGTTCTAGACATGGATATTTTCGTTTTCTTTTCCCAAGTGCTCCCTGAAAAAGGACCCGTAATGTTTGTAACGAACTCCCCTTTTCACGTTACACTTTTGACGTACATGTAGCTTGCTTAACTTGTACTACAAACTTCCTTTTCAAAACGGATTACAGTATATAATGCAGGTTTTAAAAAGTAAACTCGTATGCTATTTTGGCACCACCAATTTTTACTAAATTAATTATTTTTGGTTCTTCCAGGATCGCAGACGCTCTATCGCCCAGATCACGTTGTGTTGTTAGCTAAAGGTTTGGCGCCTGACAATAGCGACGGATTCCTCCCAGAACAGCCCTTTAGATTGCTTTATTTACCATTTGGATTTTCATTGACAGTGTTCTACAAGTATAATTGTAATGAAAATATATCTACATGTGTCTTCTCTGTGAAATGTCTTTTCAAATGTTACATTTTCAATACAAGCTGTCGATCAAAGTTTTGACAGGTTTTTATTAACGTGCGTGCAAAAACGTGAAGAAGGTGTTTCACAAACGTGTGAAACAAACATTACCCCAACCTGTAGAGTTTGTACAAGATTTATTGATCATTACTACAAAACGCCTTCCCTGGAAATACTAGAACTTTGATGATGCATACAAAGATTCATTTCTTTAATTTATACCAAGTTTAAATATGAGAGACATCTGAAGGCCGGTGGAGTAAACATCCCGTCCCCGGGTACGACTGTGGAGTACAAAAATGACCTTTATGGTCGTAACTTCTGCTGTTGGCAAGACCAATTGTTTTGTAAGCATGAGTATGACGACGATATACAGATTAGAAATACATTGCATCATCAAAATATTGGAATGTCTGATGACACTTTTGAGTTGGGCTCTTAACTCGATTAAATGATTAAATGTCCAGAATAATTTTGATTCTGAATGTAGTTCCTTCGCTAAAATTTAATGAGCAAAAAGGCGGTGTTAATAGCTGCAGTTATTTTTAAATAAAACTTACAGAATAAAAAAAAACAAAAAGGTCTGTTATGACCTTATGTTTTATACCATTATGTTAATGATTAAAATCTACAGTGCTTCTTACCAAACAGGCAGATTTTATTAAGTACATGTAACTGAAGGAGCTGTGTCGTGAAAATGAAAATCTGGCCGTTCGAATGTAGGCCTACATGTAGTCGGGATGGAAGTAAGTTTAAGCTTAAACAGTAGTTAATAAGGCAAGAATATAATGTCAAATCAGTGCTCTGAAAT